AACTACATGCAAATGATGATGGGCTAGCAGGCGCGTATAAACTCAGCTGATCATATATATATCTGATCAATTTTTGCCCGCTCATCTTTGTGCAGGTTTATGTACAATGAATCTTCGGCTTCTTACAATTAGCATCACTTCTAAAGATACTTAACTAGAGTACAACTAGATGATGATGTACTTCGATAATGATGAAGCATCTTCATCTACGGCACATAGACAGGCTATTTATGTAACATCCTACAAACAGAGCAAATACGAAAGTTTAAGCCCTAGCGGAATATTAGCATTATGCTGAACTACGTGACCCAGTTAGACTGCATAGAAGCTGACTATCGGAATTAAATTAGTGATGGCAGACAAGCAGTATGGCAAGACAGGGCAATAGTAATATGCATGATCAATAGCGAACCCATGCAATTTGCTCGACCTAGGTAACATATGTGCAGCATCATAATTTTTTATGTACAACCGGCTTGAAACGGAATTTAAGTTGTTTCTAATGCCTCACTTTAGCAGAGCTCATCAAGTACAATCGCAGTTGAGTAGCAAAACGCCATTCCTTTTATTTCCCTTGCACGAGCGAGCCACAAATGCTTAAATAAAAATAGGAAAGCTTAGGCAGGTAATTATAGGACATTCGTTTCGCTTAAGGCATCTGCATTTGCAGAGATCTTAAAATCTTATGAATCGGAACTCATACAAATGCAAAAAATGCGAAAATACAAGAAACTGCAAAATCGAAATGGGTGTCCAACAGAGAACATTGCCGAATTTATTCAACCTGTCGTTCAGATGAGGTTTTCAAGAGATTCTGTTGGGAACATCAGGGACTAAAAACAAATGAGCACTATTTAAGCAACTTGAAATCACAGCGGATGTTCTGCTATTTTGAAGGGTGCAGGAAAAACAAGAAAGAAAAATCCAAGATCTGAATCACCCAGCACTAAAGGAGAACTGAATATAAAAATGAGGAAGATTGAAGTCATGTTTAACAAATACGGGAATCGGCGATATGCGGAAGTCAGCTGACCTAAAGATGTGCCAAACTGTGTCTGTCTGTGACAGTTAATCTCTGCAACGGAGAATCGCCTCTGTAAAATAGACAGAAGAACAAAAATGGCATGGAGTACAGTTCGAAGAATGAAGATACTCCTAACTGTTAAACTGCCTTTGCGTTAGAAACAGAAAGCATTTGATCAGCGTGTTTTCAGTGCTAACCTCTGGATGTGAAACGTGTACCATAAGTCTGAAAGCTAGTCATAAACTGCAGACTACGCAACATAACATGAAAAAGTGCATGCTGGAAATAAAAAGAAAAGATAATAAAAATAAATGGGTAAGAGTAAAACAAAGAACTGCGTTGTCTATAACCGAGTGATGAATGGCAAGGGGCAAGACAAGTTACAAAAAGAATCAACCATCGCTGAACCAGAGACATTAGGCTGGAAACGGCTTTCAATTCATGGCAGGAAAAGGTGAAGAAGTTCGTCTGATGAAGATGGCAGAAAATACAAGTCTACGGCAAAGTTTTGTAGGCATTGTCAAACAGTGGATCAAAAAGGATGATGTCAACGATATACAAACAGTATTCCAAAAGAGCAATGTGCAGCACATGCCAAAATGTACTCTATGTACACATGCATCGATAAAGTATTAGTACCCTATTAAAGACATAACATAACATAACTACGCTATACATTTCGATGGCCAAAAATTTACGATGAAACTGAACGTATATTGGACTCATCAACTCACCTTCCGTAGTCGTCTTCTATCATCTGTTGTCGTGGTCTAAGGCGATGCGTGCCCGGAAACATGTCGGCAAACGGATCCATCATCATTCTGTCCATTATGTTTTCCATGTCCTGCATCTGCCGACGCATCATTCCGTGGACATCGCTGAAAAGCACTCGAAAGAAAATTAAAAATAAAAATTCAAATTCATAAAAACATAGAGAACATAGTTTCTGCGAAGATATGAAGGCAACATAATAAATAAATAAATAAATAAATACCAATCCAGACTACGCATTAAGATATCGATGATCGACTGCTGATATTAATAAGTAAAAATTTAGGCCAAAATTAATAAAATCTAGTTATAAACGTAGGGCACGACGGGAAAGGGCAGCAAGAAAAAGCGGTCCAGTTACTTAATGGCTATCAATCCTCTTCCATTTCAAATGTAATGAGATAAGGAA